AGATGGACAAATTCAGCTTCTAACTGATCCTGACCCCTCACAAAATTACAACAAGGATTCAGCGTGAACGCGGCAGAGACCACGCAGCACTAACTCCTGCAACAAAAGGCGGGAAGGGAGAAACAAAAGAAATGACAGCAGTCTGGTTTAAGCACATGAAAGGCTTAGAAGTGATGGTCCGCAGACTTCAAAAAAGCTCTAAAGCTAAGCCAACACCAGGAAATTTACACAAAATAGGTGAAAGGCTAAACTGGAGATGCAATGACAAACAGTAAGAAGTAGGAGGCAAGCCTGTAAGTGAAAGACTAAAAACATGATGTCCCAACTGAGGAGAGGAGAAGTAGCCACCTTTTCTGTGCAATCATGAACAGACCGCATACGTTCAGGAAAAAGGACTTTGTCACCAGGAATAAAGTCCTAGTGAGCACAGGAAGAAATGTACCTGCTACACGCTTTAAAAAGATTTGTACTTCTGAGTACAACATACACTGCACATAGCCTTCAAAAGTTCATAACCAGGCAATGTGGTGAATATTTTGCCCTTGTGGAGAGGAACCCCAGGCCAACAGCTCAGACACGATATTCACGTGTGCCATGCTCGACCGACAATGACAATACGTATAACTGCTTGATCCATAGATCTACATTGGGTTTTCCATAAGGACTGCTATTAACCGCGAGCATTTGCTGACCTGCTCACATTTGATTGTCGAGTGATAACGCTGCAGAAGAAGCCGACTGCATGTATCCATTACCATGCATAGATTGTTGCCTCATCAGATACCGACATACAGGCTCATTGAGCTCTTGCAGATGAAATGTAAGATTGCAGCAAGTGGACCAGGGAATCCACCACTGTCCAAGACAAAAAAAAACGTTCTCAAACATACGCAACGGTGACCTCAAAGTGGAACGATAATGGGCAGTGATGGCTGCCCATTGCTTGTTCAGACCAAAGACTGGACCTCTGGCGGAAGCACGCAGTTCAACGGCTATCCACCAAAGCTCACCAAACCATCACACATTTCACAGAAGAGCTGGAACGACTCGCTTACTGAGATAGTGGAAGTTTGATTCATGTGGACTTCTCTGAATATTATGGCGGTAAAGCTTGGAAAGGAATACAATCGTTCCACTCATTGTGGACCCCCAGCAAACAGTAGCCACATTCCACAAACGCTGTGTGGTATACTACCGCCTTCTGATCATACTCCCTGATGTCGTACTCTCTCTGCCTGTACAACTGCCATGCATGAACCGACGCGCACGTATGGGCGCATCTTGGAACAATGTTCACTCAGAGATGTATCATTGATAATCCCAATACATCACCGATACCGTCATTTTCATTAGCGATGGCCTAAGCCAACAATACTCCGACACACTAAAAAAACAACTTGATATCCTCCATGAGCACAATCCCACATTCTTGTCTGTGCTTTAAACAAATCACCTGGAATTTCAGTGAAAAATCTCAATGGAAAGGGAAGCTCCTGATGGAGTAGAGGAGGGGCTATTAAAAACGAATTGCTGTCACGCTGTCCTCTAGGGACTGATATCAGACCCCCCGAGGACTTGACAGCTGCTTGTTTAGCAGGATCTAGTATTGTCTCTTTCTACTGGGTGTCCTGAGGAGTCCATTGAGAAGTACGACAACTCTGATCCCAATGAACATTCCTAGTTGATAGAGGTACTCTCAAAAATTCATCAAGTGCTTGTGAGCAGCCAGCACTCATCAAGTGGAGAGAGATTTCTCTGTTTTTATTGTGAGACGACCTAGCTCTCTGCAACTGGCATACAAGCCTACTGGTATTGACTAGGGGCCACCAACCAGAATCCTCAACACTACAACATCGTCTGTTGCGAGCAAACAGATCTTGGAGAAAGTTGTCTTATGGCAAGATAGGACTATAAACCATTTGTGGCCAAGGGTACCAAAATGGTCAATGAGGAAATTTACATTCATCTTGGGAGTTTGGGGGTGGGTCGGGGGGGTGGGGGGGGGGGGGTGACAGGTCGGGGCAATGGGCGGGGGAGTGAGGGCGGGGGGGGGGGGGGAGGGAGCGGGGGGGGGGGGGGGGGGGGGGGGGGGGGGGGGGGGGTGGGGGGGTGGTGGGGGTGGGGGGGGGGGGTGGGTGGGGGGGGGGGGGGGTGGGGGGGGGGGGGGGTGGGGGGGGGGGGGGGGGGGGGGTTGTAGGAGGGGGGGGGTATGGGTAGTGATGGGCGAGGGGGTGGGGGGGGAGTGTGAGGGGAGGGGAGAGGGGGGGGGGGGGGGGGGGGGGGGGGTACAGGATGGGTTGACATTTGGGGGGGGGGGGGGGGGGGGGGGGGGGGGGGGGGGGGGGGGGGGGGGGGGGGCATAGGGGGGGGGGGGGTGGGGGGGAAGTGGGGGTGGGAGTGGGGAGGTGACCCAACTTTGAATGGCGTAAAGTAAGTGGTTCTGGTTCTGAAATAATGTGCAGCACATCTGATTCATTGTAAAACAAGATGTCAGGTGGATGTGGCCAGATGAATTTATTCTTTCCTCCTTGTCGCTGCATGCAACTGACCTCAATTTCCTCATTGACCACTTTGGTCACTTGGCCAACAAATGGTTTATTGTCATATCTTGCAATGACAAACTTTCCTCCAAGATCTGTTTGCTCAACAGACGATGTTGTGTGTTGAGATTCTGGTTGTTGGCCAAAGTCAACTACAGTTGGATTGTGGCAGTTGCAGAGAGCAGGTCTCTCACAAAACAAGAAATCTCTCTCCACTTGATGACTGCTGGCTGCTCACAAAGCACTTGATGAATTTTGAGTGTACCTCTAACAACAGGAATGTTCATTGGGACAGAGTTGTCGTACTTCTCAAAGGACTCCTCAGACACCCAGTAAAATGAAATACTAGATTCCTGCTTAATCAAGAAGCTGTAAAGCTCCTCGGGGGTCTGAATATCAGCTCCCCTTTGGACAGCTCTGTCAGCAATTCGTTTTAAAGCACCTCCTACTCCATCAGGAGCTCCCTTTCCATGAGATTTTTCACTGAAATTCCAGGTGATTTGTTTAAAGCCAGACAGAAATGGAATTGTGCTCAGGAGATACAAGTTTTTTTTATTCCTGTATTGGTTGGCTGGCCCATCGCTAATGACATGTAACGTTTCAGGCTGAGTATTGGACTTTTCAATGACATCTCTGATGACAGGTTCCAAATGCGCCCATACTGCTCGTTCATCATGGCGTGTACAGGCAGAGAGAGTAGCATAGGAGTATGATGCAGAGGCGGTGTATGCCACACACGTGTGGATGGCTACTTGTTTGCGGCTCCCACCAAAGTGGAACGATTGTATTTCCTTTCCAAGCTTACAGCCATAATTTTCAGAGAAGTCAACATGAATACAAACTTCCCTCTCAGTAAGCGAGTCTTTCAGCTCTCTGAAAGTTGTGGCTTGGTGAAGCCAGTTGAACTGGTGCTCCGCCAGAGAATCCAGCTTTTTGTTGAACAAGGCCAAGAGCTCACTGCATGTTCCACTTTGTGTCACCTTTGCGTAGTTTGAGAACGTTTTTTTGTCTTGGACAGTGGTGATCCTGGTCCACTGCTGCCATCTTACAATTTCATCCTCAAGAGGTCCAATGAACTGGATGTCGTTGTAGCAACAATCCTTGCATGTATGATACATGCAGCTCATTCTTCGCGTATCACATACAATCAAAGTGAGCAGGTCAGATATGCTCGCTGTTAATAGCAGTCCTTTTGGAAACAATGTATCTATTATCAACTTAACATTCTCATGGTCCAGACAGGCACACGTATTTCTGTCTGACGCTTTGGCTGGGGTTACATAAAAAGGGCAATATCTCACAAATTGCCTGTATGATATTTTGAAGCGCTTCTGTGCTAGTGTATTGTACTCAGAGTACAAATCTTTTAAAGAGTGTAGCAGTACTCTCCTTTGCTCTCTGACTTTATTCCTGGTGACAAAGTCCTTTTTCCCTGAAAGTATGCGGCTGTTCTTGTCTCTGCACAGAAAGGTGGCTACTTCTCCTCTCCTCAGTTGGGACATCATTTTTTTGTCTTTCCTTACAGGCTTGCCTCCTACTTTCTTACTGTTGGCTTGCTTCTCCAGTTTTGCCTTCACCTTTTGGGATTTCCGTTTGGCAGCTTTAAGCTCTTTTTTAAGTCTGCGGACCTCACTTCTAAGCCTTTCCATGTTGCTTAAAACAGACTTGATGTATTTATTTTTTCCTCCATTTCCACTTTTTGCAGGAGTAGAGGCTGCCTGTGGTCTCTCCGTCACTGGCTGATCATTGTTGTAATTTTGTTGAAGGGGTTCAGGATCAGGATTAAGCTGAATTTGTCCATCTGCTGAGGTATTTATTGAGGGGGGTGTGAAGTTTAGGACTTCAGCTAACACTCTTTTGTTTCTCCTGTATGTCCTCTGGTATTCTATCCATTTCTCCCTCATCTTCTCCTGCTTTTGCTGTGAGAGCTGGCTCACAGGAATGTTCTCTATCTTTCCCTGTCTTTTTCTCCTTCGATAACTACAAGAAAGTAAAACAGAATTTGTCATTAACACTGCCACAACTATCCTCACATTTCGGAGTTGTCACAACAAAAATACATCTTATACCACAAATAATGCACACACACAGTGAGTGTATATATGTGAGGGTACATTTGCCCATCTCCAAATGAGTTTAATGTGTGCACATACACGTTCAATTCAATTAAAATCAATTAACTTAAATGTATTCTTGTGTCATCCTAAATTACAACAGTGGATATTTCAGAGGACTTCACAAAACCGTTCGCCAACACGGATCAGAGAATCAAACATAACACAAGAAATGCATTGATTAAATACACATCGAGCCATTGGTCCATAAGAAGCTGACACCAATGTCCATAAATGTTACACATGTGATTGTTAACTACCTTTCACGTCTTTTTGCAAGGTAATTTTCCCCTGCAGCAGGATCCGAATTGATCCGTGCTCTGTGGCAGGCAACTTTTTGTTTGCTTGTAAGTGCCATCTGTAATGAAGATATATATGAAATAAAGACATTGTAATTCATATATACAGTAACTTTGACTATTTAAATAATATAATTAAACGTGATCTAATCAAAAGTATCCTGCGAGTTAATTGGATTAAGTCTTGCTTTAATTATCCTTCAACTTGTAAGAAATTCATACCATTGTATTTGTTATTTATTTTACAGCTGCATATTAGCATAAAATGGAAATATATAACGTGAATATAGTCCAATTATGGGTGATATCCATCAAGTTTTTCCTCAAATAGAAAGGCTTAGAGAAAGAGTCAAACGGTGTAACCGGTTACACCGCTAGACATTTCATTTTTAAATCATTTTATTCAGGCATTAACATGGACAACTCTATGAACATATAGTCTTTGTGTAATCTGTTAAACATATATTATCAACTTAATATTTGTTTATACATTATAAATCAATTATTTACGTTTTACTCGGGTCATACCATTTGACATGTAATCTATTGTATACATCCTCATGTCTGAAATATGTCAAATTATTTAATATTTTCAAGAGAGATACTGACCTTTACATGCAAACTGCAGAGTCATCAGGGGTCCTGCTGCCGGATGTCACTTCCTGTCATGTGATCTTCTTTTGCATTATGAGCAAAATGGCTGCCTGAATGCCGGTTACACCACCTTGACATTAGGTGAAGTACGCTTGACTTTCAAAATTCCCGGATTCAGACAAAAAAGGCCAAACAAAACTGAATAATATATTTATATCTATCATTAATATAAATAGTTGAATATTATGCCAGGCTATTTTACAAACAAAATTGTAACAAATTTAGCCATTTTTAAGTAAGGGGGAGTTTTTTGCTACATTTTTTTGGGTTACACCACTTAGACATTTTGTCCTAAAAAACCTTATTGTTCTCCCAAAATATATGCAAAATCATAATTGACATGCTAGGCAACTAGATTATGTTGTATAAAACCAATTTTAAATGTTTTTTAAAAAATACATTATTCTGAAATGTATTTTAACAGAGCGGCCAAAAAAAAGAGGGCGTCACGTCATTGACCCACATACAGACACAGTGACACAGGTACAGTGCCTTGCGAAAGTATTCGGCCCCCTTGAACCTTTCAACATTATGCCACATTTCGGACTTCAAACATACTGTAAAGATATAAAATTTTAATTTTTTGTCATGAATCAACAACAAGTGGGACACAATCGTGAAGTGGAACGAAATGTATTGGATAATTTAAACTTTTTTAACAAATAAAAAACTGAAAAGTGGGGCGTGCAATGGGGCTGGGCGATAAAACGATAACGATATATATCGCGATAGACATGTGTTCGATATCAATAGAGAATGGGGTCGATAGAATGTTCGATAGTTTAACTTAACTCCGTCAGGAAAAACAGGAACGACTCATAAGCGCATGGCATTGTGGGGGATGTAGGCAGAGGCTTCTCGACCAATAACAGCCGAGCAGGAACCGCAAAACTTTCTGGGAAATGCAAAAACAACAACAACCGCACCATGCGTGGCGTCCATGGATCTATAGCTGGTGTTTCAATGCCGTGTCAATGGTTATGCACGTACGTGCGCGGAATAACATGTGCGGCGGCAGAGGCAGTGGACAGACACCATGTATTCGGCGAAAGCAAGAGATTAACTTTTTCCTCTGGAAGCATGTGCGGCACAGAGAGCCGCACGGAGCGGTCACGGGGACACAAGACCCTCAAACAGCTAAACCAGGAGCTAAACCAGGAATAAAAAACCAGGATTAAACCAGGACTAACAACGAGGGACACAGTGTGAACATATTCCTCCAGCCTCATCGCCCCGTGACTGTAAACAAGGCTGCTAAGGTTGGTTAGCCCACACCACAAATATATTTATTTAGGTAAAAAAAACAAAACTCAATATATATCGTTATCGACCGATATGAATGACTTATATCGTGATATAGTTTTTAAGGAGGAGTATCAGACCACTGCAAATCTACCAAGACCCGGCCGTCCCTCCAAACTTTCATCTCAAACAAGGAGAAGACTGATCAGAGATGCAGCCAAGAGGCCCATGATCACTCTGGATGAACTGCAGATAACTACAGCTGAGGTGGGAGAGTCTGTCCATAGGACAACAATCAGTCGTGCACTGCACAAATCTGGCCTTTATGGAAGAGTGGCAAGAAGAAAGCCATTTCTCAAAGATATCCATAAAAAGTCTCGTTTAAAGTTTGCCACAAGCCACCTGGGAGACACACCAAACATGTGGAAGAAGGTGCTCTGGTCAGATGAAACCAAAATCGAACTTTTTGGCCACAATGCAAAACGATATGTTTGCCGTAAAAGCAACACAGCTCCTCACCCTGAACACACCATCCCCACTGTCAAACATGGTGGTGGCAGCATCATGCTTTGGGACTGCTTTTCTTCAGCAGGGACAGGGAAGATGGCTAAAATTGATGGGAAGATGGATGGAGCCAAATACAGGACCATTCTGGAAGAAAACCTGTTGGAGTCTGCAAAAGACCTGAGACTGGGACGGAGATTTATCTTCCAACAGGACAATGATCCAAAACATAAAGCCAAATCTACAATGGAATGGTTCACAAATAGACGTATCCAGGTGTTAGAATGGCCAAGTCAAAGTCCAGACCTGAATCCAATCGAGAATCTGTGGAAAGAGCTGAAGACTGCTGTTCACAAACGCTCTCCATCCAACCTCACTGAGCTCCAGCTGTTTTGCAAGGAAGAATGGGCAAGAATTCCAGTCTCTCGATGTGCAAAACTGATAGAGACATACCCCAAGCGACTTGCAGCTGTAATTGCAGCAAAAGGTGGCGCTACAAAGTATTAGCGCAAAGTAATATTGCACGCCCCACTTTTCAGTTTTTTATTTGTTAAAAAAGTTTAAATTATCCAATATATTTCGTTCCACTTCACGATTGTGTCCCACTTGTTGTTGATTCTTGACAAAAAATATTTTTTTTATATTTTTATGTACATATAGACACAGAGACACAGGTACTTCCAAAATATTATCCAAACCATGACATTTTAATCTTCATACAAGTGTCATGTTGTGTGTTGTGTGTGTTGTGTTGTGTGTCTTGTGTTGTGTGTGTTGTCGACAAAGTCAGAAAGACACATGAGTCATTTTTACAACACACAAAACAAACCCTGGATCCTGCAGAATGTTAAAGCCAGAGTTCATGGAGCAGCGAGGGCGAAGGGTCTGGACGAGGCGAAAGAAAAGTCAGAGGTGGGAGTTGGCCTTCTGACCTCTTCACACTCTTTGTCCAAAAGAGAATCTAGAAATATCTCTGTCTCTGACTTTAGCCTGGACTAAACTCAGGGTTAAAGCTTCCTCTGAATAATACACATGTTTAGACTGTACTGTGCTCCTCAGAGTCCCAGCAGGAGGCCAGTCCCTGTGCTCCTCAGAGTCCCAGCAGGAGGCCAGTCCCTGTGCTCCTCAGAGTCCCAGCAGGAGGCCAGTCCCTGTGCTCCTCAGAGTCCCAGCAGGAGTCCAGTCCCTGTGCTCCTCAGAGTCCCAGCAGGAGGCCAGTCCCTGTGCTCCTCAGAGTCCCAGCAGGAGTCCAGTCCCTGTGCTCCTCAGAGTCCCAGCAGGAGGCCAGTCCCTGTGCTCCTCAGAGTCCCAGCAGGAGGCCAGTCCCTGTGCTCCTCAGAGTCCCAGCAGGAGGCCAGTCCCTGTGCTCCTCAGAGTCCCAGCAGGAGGCCAGTCCCTGTGCTCCTCAGAGTCCCAGCAGGAGGCCAGTCCCTGTGCTCCTCAGAGTCCCAGCAGGAGGCCTCCTCCTCCTCTTCCTCCTCCTCCTCCTCCTCCTCCTCCTCCTCTTCCTTGTTTTCCTTTAATAAAAACACCCAGAGCCTGTTTCTAAACGGGAGAATTAAAGTCCTTTTGATCTGTTTCTTTCTGAAAATAGAAAAGTGTCATTTTTAGGATCCTCACAGACTGTTGTACTGTCACAGACTGTTGTACTGTCAGACTGTTGTACCGTCACAGACTATTGTACTTTCACAGACTGTTGTACTTTCTCAGACTGTTGCACCGTCACAGACTGTTGTACCGTCACAGACTGTTGTACCGTCACAGACTGTTGTACCGTCACAGACTGTTGTACCGTCACAGACTGTTGTACTGTCAGACTGTTGTACTGTCACAGACTGTTGCACCGTCACACTGTTGTACTGTCAGACTGTTGTACTGTCAGACTGTTGTACTGTCAGACTGTTGTACCGTCACAGACTGTTGTACTGTCCTCACAGACTGTTGTACTGTCACAGACTGTTGTACTGTCACAGACTGTTGTACTGTCCTCACAGACTGTTGTACTGTCACAGACTGTTGTACTTTCTCAGACTGTTGTACTGTCACAGACTGTTGTACCGTCACAGACTGTTGTACCGTCACAGACTGTTGTACCGTCACAGACTGTTGTACCGTCACAGACTGTTGTACCGTCACAGACTGTTGTACCGTCACAGACTGTTGTACTGACACAGACTGTTGTACTGACACAGACTGTTGTACTGTCACAGACTGTTGTACCGTCACAGACTGTTGTACTGTCACAGACTGTTGTACTGTCACAGACTGTTGTACTGTCACAGACTGTTGTACTGACACAGACTGTTGTACTTTCTCAGACTGTTGTACCGTCACAGACAGTTGTACTGTCACAGGCTGTTGTACTGTCAGACTGTTGTACTGTCAGACTGTTGTACTGTCACAGACTGTTGTACCGTCACAGACTGTTGTACCGTCACAGACTGTTGTACCGTCACAGACTGTTGTACCGTCACAGACTGTTGTACCGTCACAGACTGTTGTACTGTCACAGACTGTTGTACTGTCCTCACAGACTGTTGCACCGTCACAGACTGTTGTACTGACACAGACTGTTGTACTTTCTCAGACTGTTGTACTGTCAGACTGTTGTACCGTCACAGACAGTTGTACTGTCACAGGCTGTTGTACTGTCAGACTGTTGTACCGTCACAGACAGTTGTACTGTCACAGGCTGTTGTACTGTCAGACTGTTGTACTGTCAGACTGTTGTACTGTCACAGACTGTTGTACCGTCACAAACTGTTGTACTGTCACAGACTGTTGTACCGTCACAGACTGTTGTACTGTCACAGACTGTTGTACCGTCACAGACTGTTGTACTGTCACAGACTGTTGTACTGTCACAGACTGTTGTACCGTCACAGACTGTTGTACTGACACAGACTGTTGTACTGTCACAGACTGTTGTACCGTCACAGACTGTTGTACTGTCACAGACTGTTGTACTGTCACAGACTGTTGTACCGTCACAGACTGTTGTACCGTCACAGACTGTTGTACTGTCACAGACTGTTGTACCGTCACAGACTGTTGTACCGTCACAGACTGTTGTACCGTCACAGACTGTTGTACCGTCACAGACTGTTGTACCGTCACAGACTGTTGTACTGTCACAGACTGTTGTACTGTCACAGACTGTTGTACTGACACAGACTGTTGTACTGACACAGACTGTTGTACTCAGACTGTTGTACTGTCAGACTGTTGTACCGTTACAGACCGTTGTACTGACACAGACCGTTGTACTGTCCTCACAGACTGTTGTACTGACACAGACTGTTGTACCGTCACAGACAGTTGTACTGACACAGACTGTTGTACCGTCTCAGACTGTTGTACCGTCACAGACTGTTGTACCGTCTCAGACTGTTGTACCGTCACAGACTGTTGTACTGACACAGACTGTTGTACTGTCACAGACTGTTGTACTGTCCTCACAGACTGTTGTACCGTCACAGACTGTTGTACTGACACAGACTGTTGTACTGTCCTCACAGACTGTTGTACCGTCTCAGACTGTTGTACCGTCTCAGACTGTTGTACTGTCACAGACTGTTGTACTGTCCTCACAGACTGTTGTACCGTCTCAGACTGTTGTACCGTCTCAGACTGTTGTACTGACACAGACTGTTGTACCGTCTCAGACTGTTGTACTGACACAGACTGTTGTACTGTCCTCACAGACTGTTGTACCGTCTCAGACTGTTGTACTGACACAGACTGTTGTACTGTCACAGACTGTTGTACTGTCACAGACTGTTGTACCATCTCAGACTGTTGTACCGTCACAGACCGTTGTACTGACACAGACCGTTGTACTGACACAGACTGTTGTACTGTCACAGACTGTTGTACCATCTCAGACTGTTGTACCGTCACAGACCGTTGTACTGACACAGACTGTTGTACCGTCACAGACTGTTGTACTGTCACAGACTGTTGTACCGTCACAGACTGTTGTACCGTCACAGACCGTTGTACTGACACAGACTGTTGTTATCGCCCTGAATCCCAACAGAGACATGAGTCCATGAGGAGCAGAGCTGATGCAGATGATCCTGATCCTCTCACACTCTTCACACAAACTAAAAATCCTGAGGCAGGAAACTGAGAAACATTTTTCTTTTAAATGTTTTGTTCTGAAAGTTGACCTTGACACAATAAATCTGAGACTTCTCTGAATCCGTCACGTTTCCACAAAGAGTGAGTCCCTCGAGACGCAATTAATCCTGCATTTCATTAAAAGTACTGCATCAGAGCGACGGAAACAGCCTCAGGAGGTGACGGGCGGGACCTCAATGGGACCTCACTGGGACCTCCTGGGACCGCACTGGGGCCTCACTGGGACCTCACCGTAGCCTCACTGGGACCTTACTGGGACCTCACTGGGACCTCACCAGAGCCTCACTGGGGCCTCACTGGGACCTCACCGTAGCCTCACTGGGACCTCACTGGGACCTCACTGGGACCTCACCAGAGCCTCACTGGGGCCTCACTGGGACCTCACCGTAGCCTCACTGGGACCTCACTGGGACCTCACTGGGACCTCACCAGAGCCTCACTGGGGCCTCACTGGGACCTCACCGTAGCCTCACTGGGACCGCACTGGGGCCTCACCATAGCCTCACTGGGGCCTCACTGGGACCTCACCGTAGCCTCACTGGGACCTTACTGGGACCTCACCAGAGCCTCACTAGGGCCTGGCTGCGGCCTCACTGGGAACTCACTAGGGCCTCGCTGCAGCCTCACTGGGACCTCACCAGAGCCTCACCAGAGCCTCACTGGGACCCATAGGTGTTAGTGCTCGGCTCATGACACATGCGCCGCACTTTGCACAGATAAAATGTTGTGAAACCTCGAGCGGGCCTCGCACATGGCCTCGTGCTAAAACACGCCAGTTCCAGCTTCTTCTCCAGACGTGATGTGACACCGCGTGGGGCCGTGTGGAGCCGTGTGGAGCCGTGTGGAGCCGTGTGGAGCCGTAACATGGAGCTCGTTTTGTTACAGTGGTCCGTGAGCACAGACAGCGCCTCCCTCAGGGCACATACACAGCAGCAGTGATATCTTGTGAAGTGTGCCCTTTAAAAATAGCAGGGTCGCTGTCAACATCGCTCGTGTCTTTGGCTCGAGTGCTTTCCACGATCGCTGACAACTGTATACACTTAAATTTCATCTTTTTTTCCTTTTTTTGTAGATACATGCTTTGGCTATTAAGGTCTGTCAGATCGGCGTCACGCATGGCTACGCTAACGTCATGTTTCCGAATAGATGCAGCGGAGACTGATGCTGCAGCTAATGTGGAGGAGGCCTCAGGGCGGTGCAGCCAGAGGTAAGGCAGAGGAGGGTGTGAGACGGGGGAGGGGGGGGGAGACGGGGGAGGGGGGGAGACGGGGGAGGGGGGGAGACGAGGGAGGGGGGGAGACGAGGGAGGGGGGCGACGGGGGAGGGGGGGAGACGAGGGAGGGTGTGAGACGGGGGAGGGGGGGGGAGACGGGGGAGGGGGGTGACAAAGGAGAGGGATTCCACTCAGAGGAACAGCGGCTGTGCCTCTGAGCAGACATGGCTGAAAACATGAGCAGAGAGTGGTTAAACTGCAGCAGCTTCCAGAAGATAAAGAACATTACTGCAGACTTTTGACCTCAGTCACAAATATCACAGAAACTTCAACTATAGCGAAAGAAGTTGGACTTTTTGGTTTCATGCATTAACTAAATCATTGACCCAAATATGGTCATTGAATGCTGCTTTCCAAACATATATATTTATATAATTATTTTGTATTTATTAATCTTTTTCATCCCCATTGGTGTAAGTATGTTTTTATGTTTGGGTTCTACAGGATTCACAAGATATTATTTATATTTATTTATTGTATATAAAGCCAACAAATAACATCGGAGTCAGATGCATTTTTAAAGTGATCGGACCAATAGTCACGTACATGGGTACAAATATTCACATGTGTGTTGTGGCTGTATGCTCCGCACAGTAAGAAAGATCAAAAAGAACCAATAGGGACTCTGAGGAGCACAGGGACTGGCCTCCTGCTGGGACTCTGAGGAGCACAGGGACTGGCCTCCTGCTGGGACTCTGAGGAGCACAGGGACTGGCCTCCTGCTGGGACTCTGAGGAGCACAGGGACTGGGGCTCTACAGTCTCTGCTTTTCAGAAAAAGGGAAAGGTGTGAGGGTGATTCCCAAAGGCGTTGCTGAAAACGGCCGCTGCATTAATCCTCGACTCTTGTCTGATGTGTGTGATTGACAGCTCATTAACCACAGCGACGTTCCTCAAATAGTCCTGATCCTCCGAGACGGATGGCTTTTCTGAACGGGAACGCCACCACAGCAGCAGCAGCAGCAGCAGCCGCAGTAGCAGTCTCTACTCTACAGTCTCTGCTCTACAGTCTCTGCTCTACAGTCTCTGCTCTACAGTCTCTGCTCTACAGTCTCTACAGTTTCTGCTCTACAGTCTCTGCTCTACAGTCTCTGCTCTACAGTCTCTGCTCTACAGTCTTTACAGTCTCTGCTCTACAGTCTCTGCTCTACAGTCTCTGCTCTACAGTCTCTGCTCTAACTAGTCTCTCTCGCTCTTACCGTCCTCTGCTCTACAGTCTCTACTCTACAGTCTCTGCTCTACAGTCTCTGCTCTACAGTCTCTGCTCTACAGTCTCTACTCTACAGTCTCTACAGTTCTGCTCTACAGTCTCTGCTCTACAGTCTCTGCTCTACAGTCTCTGCTACAGTCTTACAGTCTCTGCTGCCTACAGTCTCTGCTCTAAAGTCTCTGCTCTACAGTCTCTGCTCTACAGTCTCTACTCTACAGTCTCTGCTCTACAGTCTCTGCTCTACAGTCTCTACTCTACAGTCTCTGCTCTACAGTCTCTACTCTACAGACTCTGCTCTACAGTCTCTGCTCTACAGTCTCCACTCTACAGACTCTGCTCTACAGTCTCTACAGTCTCTGCTCTACAGTCTCTACTCTACAGTCTCTACTCTACAGTCTCTGCTCTACAGTCTCTACTCTACAGTCTCTACTCTACAGTCTCTGCTCTACAGTCTTTACAGTCTCTGCTCTACAGTCTCTACTCTACAGTTTCTACTCTACAACCTCTGCTCTACAGTCTCTGCTCTACAGACTCTACTCTACAGTCTCTACTCTACAGTCTCTACTCTACAGTCTCTACTCTACAGACTCTGCTCTACAGACTCTACTCTACAGTCTCTACTCTACAGTCTCTGCTCTACAGTCTCTGCTCTACAGTCTCTACTCTACAGTCTCTGCTCTACAGTCTCTGCTCTACAGTCTCTACTCTACAGTCTCTACTCTACAGTCTCTACTCTACAGACTCTGCTCTACAGTCTACAGTCTCTACTCTACAGTACAGTCTCTACTCTACAGTCTCTACTCTACAGACTCTGCTCTACAGTCTCTGCTCTACAGTACAGTCTCTACTCTACAGTCTCTACTCTACAGACTCTGCTCTACAGTCTCTACTCTACAGTACAGTCTCTGCTCTACAGTACAGTCTCTACTCTACAGTACAGTCTCTACTCTACAGTCTCTGCTCTACAGTCTCTACTCTACAGTCTCTGCTCTACAGTCTCTGCTCTACAGTCTCTACAGTTT